ATGCTCTATCTGACAACCATAGTTCTCCAACGTAATTTCCATTGCAAAAGGTTCTTTCGTGATGATGATATGTCCAAAGCACACTACTCTCCCCTGTAGACTCTCCATAAGCCATTTTATGTATAAGGACAACAGTTTATCAGTCTATGTTTCAGCAGTCCAATCGCACAGAATTTCATAAGTTAGATTAAACGACTTTACCGTTATGTCTTCGTATGGAATAGCATGAATACCTGTTTTATTCTCCAACTGCTTGAGGTATGCAATAGTTGAACAGGGGGTATGACTGAAAGTCTTACCTTGATGAAACCATACCCAAACAATCGCATTTTTCCAGTGGTCTTTGTGTTCGTGGATCCTCAACTGTTATAAGACAATGCATATTACGTATTATAGCTTAGCTGGATTACGACTAGTCGCAGGTCTCTGTCTGGATGGTTTGGGGTACCTAAGCTGATCCATATTCCTTTGTTTTTGAAAACTATTATTAAGTGCAAGGTATATCCTCGTGTTGGAAATTCCAGGTCTGATATATATATTTGATCTGATTGTATAAAATGTTTGCGTCGGAAAAGGTTGTTACATGTCTATCCCAAAAGCGATAACATTTTGATGGCATCACACTACCAACCAAACATCAAACAATGTCAAAATGAACTCTCGATACATGTCGTTCCATAACGACATTATATCGGTTTGAGTGTCATTTGCTGATTTGTATGTTCAAAATATTTTTAATATAATGAACTCAACCTTCTGTATATACATTATTCGTCGGATACATTAGCACGAAGGAATCCACGAAAACTAATTCTTTTTTTGTTGTTGTTTTAGTTGAAAACATGTCAATTAAGGAACAGTATTTGCTATTAAGCACAGTTTCGTAACACATGCATATAGAAACATTTACAAATATGCGGAAGCGTAGTTGAGTGAAAGTATGAGAAGGAGAAGGGGTAGATGAGCAGATAATGGATATCTTATAATTTACTTAGATAACGAAATGCTAATGAACCTCCAATCTAGCAGAAGTCTCGTGTAGTAGAATGATTTCTCAGTTCGAATTGATGTCAAGAAAAGATCACGTTCCTTCATAATTAGAGTAAGTAAAGTAGGCATCGTTATCATCCAGATTTACTATTGTTTGAGTAGACTACGAACTAATAAAGTACTGATAATTACGTTGAATAATGTCGTATTACCTGTAGCCTAACAAACAGACAATCGTAAAAGGAAGTTCCTGTTTACATTCTCTCGTCTAGATTATTTTAAAAAGAAACTAAAACTCAGAAATCGTTGCTTATTACTATTGGAGAGAATATTATAAGATACACTAACAAACAAGACCTGGGCTCGGCATGGCCAGATGGCTAGGGCGCTCGAGCCGCAATCTGCGGGTCGTGGGTTCGAATCCCCGTCTCCTTATAACGCCCTTCCAACCGGGGGGCGTTATAATGTGACAGTCAATCCCACTATTCGTTGGTGAAAGAGTAGCCCAAGAGTTGGCGGGGGTGATTATGACTAACTGCCTTCCCACTGCAAATTAGGGACGGCTAGCGCAGATAGCCCTCCGATGCTAGCAGAACGTGCTGCCGATAATGCAGAACGCAACAAAAGTAAAGTTTTGATATTCCACATCACAGTTTATTTGTATGCGAATTTTGTAAGACGTATTTCTTATAATTGTTCATAAAACTCAAAGTTTCCTAATGAGATAAACAAAACATAACTGCTTCTATATCTGCAGCCATACGATACGTCTGAGCATAATCACTTTAAAAGCTTCTTTATTAGGAGACTAACTAATTATATAAACAAGAACTATGCATAAGTATAAAGGTAGCTTTAAGGTTCAGCTGAATTCCGATCATACATTTTGAATTATATGTACATATATTTCGATTTAATCAATTCAACGCGAACTTGCCAAATTACACATAACTAACATTTCTATGGAAACAACATCAAAATAAAAATACACAGGCCTGCGATGGTTTTATTGTCTTGAAACTTTTATATGTTCTACAGTAATTCCTATACGCTGAATCAGAAAATGATATCCATTTTTATCCATCACGTACAGACTTTTTACATAACGCAATACATAATTGAAAGACCAGAACATGTAGCTTTGACGCAGATTTCACAAAAAAATCAGGTTGAATGAGGATGCATATTCGTTTGACATCAATGCTTTTCCTTTTCTTCAATTTGTTTGTATTTTTTGTTAACAAACATAATAATAAAAAATGTAAAAAATCCTTACGTGATAGAAAAAAAAATGAATATTATTTTCGAAATCTGCGTAGCTGAATTATGTAAAATCAGTTATTAAAACCAAAAAAAACTTTTATGAAGTTTAAATTCGCAGGCCTGTTATATTAATAATATTTTTACGACAGCGGAAGTCACGTGACGCTGGTAACACGTCATGAGTTTCTAGAAGGATCATGAC